GAATTTTTTAAAATAGACGTTTTATTAACTGCTGAAAAAAATAACAGATGATCTTTTAAAAGAAAAATAATGAAAAACAAAATGGTCAGTTATTAAATTTCAGAATGTTGGTTTCTGTGAATGTGAATTTCTCTCAAATCTGGGTTACAGAAATTTTTAAGAAGATGTGTTTGCTCTCTGGTATACAGATTGTGGTGACTTGTATACCGTTTCTCACCAAAAAGAACCAGATCAAGATCACTGAATGTACAGGATAAGCCTAAGAGAGCAGTTCTCAAACTTTTTGGCTTTAGACCCTTTTTCTATTATAAATTAATGATACTCCAAAAAACTTTTGTTCATGCGGATTATTTTATCTGTTGATAGTTATCATATAACAAATTAAAACCCATAATTTATCATATTACAAATTTATATCAATTCATTTAAAAATAATAAACCCATTGCATAACATATAATGTTTTTGCATTAAAAATAACTGTGCTTTCCTAAACAAAATAGATTTGGTAAGAAGAGTGGCATATTTTATTACATTTTTGCAGACCTTATTAATGTATGGCTTAATAGAAAACAGATTCTCTTATCTGCTTCTGAGTTTACATGTTATATGTAAATATATATACAGGTACATATTTTTTGTGTGTATTGTATTGTTGAAGGATATGAAGAAACATGTCTGGGTTCACACAGAAATATATAGTAAAGGAAGGAGTACTTTTGTAGCCTTTTTAGATTGTTGTCCTTTGATTTATGGTGGAGAAAAATAAAATTGTGTGTTCACTATTTGGAGAAAAGCAGTAAAAATGTGATCAAAGCAAAAATAATAGTTAAAATGCAGAACAAACAGTTTTAAATGAAAATGTGCTTTGGAAATAAAGCCATATTATTTGAAATTCAAATTGAAATTGATATTCCTTGATATTACACTAAAACTTGGTAAGTGTTAGTGTCTGAAATGTTAGTTACGATATGGAATCTGAAACCATATTAGTGAACTTTTGTACTCTGTTATGTTAAAATCCGTTGGTCTATCTTGCACTTAAAATAGTTCTTTTACCCATGTCTGATTTTGTAACACCATGCATTGGTCATTCGGTACTGATTTAGTTATGCAAATCTCGTAAAAGTTGATTGATACTTTTTTTTTTTTTTTTGAGACGGAGTCTTGCCCTATCACCCAGGCTGGAGTCCAGTGGCACAATCTCAGCTCACTGTAGCCTACATCTCCTGAGTTCAAGCGATTCTCCTGCCTCAGCCTCCCAAGTAGCTGGGATTACAAACGTGTGCCTCCACGCCTGGCTAAGGTTGGTATTTTTAGTAGAGACAGGGTTTCACTGTGTTGACCAGACTGGCCTCGAACTCTTGACCTCAAGCGATCTGCCCACCTCGGCCTCCCAAAAGTGTTGGAATTACAGGCATGAGCCACTGCGCCGAACTGGGTTGACACATTTTTTTACACAATATTAAAAAATTATATTTGTTAATATCACCATTGATTTTATGAGAAAATTCTTTAAATATTGAGACACTGTCAAGGTCATTATGGTAGATCAGTGTTTTCCAAAATTCCAATTTTTGCTTGAAAGCTCAAATTTTATCATCAGCAACAAATCTATTAGTTGTTTCCTTTGAAGTGACAGGCTCACTTTGCTTATCTCCATGAAAAGAAAATGGCAAAGGCCAGGCATGGTGGCTCATGCTTGTAATCCCAGCACTTTGGGAGGCCAAGGTGGGTGGATCACTTGAGGTCACAAGTTCGAGACCAGCCTGGCAAACGTGCTGAAACCCCTTCTCTACTAAAAATACAAAAATTAGCTGGGTGTAATGGCTCATGCCTGTAATCCCAGCTGCTCAGGAGGCTGAGGCAGGAGAATCGCTTGAACCTGGGAGGCGGAGGTTTCAGTGAGCTGAGATTGCACCACTGCACTCTAACCTGGGTGACAGAGTGAGACTCTGTCTCAAAAAAAAAAAAAAAAAAAGAAAAAATGTCTGGCAAAATATCCCAGTCTGAATAATCATTGTTTGTCCATCGTGTTTTTGAAGTAAAAATGATGTTCTGTGGAAAAAAGTGGCTGGTTTAGCTTGTCATTGAGACAGTTGCATGTATTTTCTTCCAAGATAACCGTCGTATTTCAATATGCAGCAGAAATGTTTTTATGCACACAGAATATTAAGATGATGTACACTCATGGGTAAAGCTGGCATTCTCTTTAAACTACAAATTCATGGTGAATTTGTGAAAATAGTGAAAACTTTGGTCAGTGAAAAATGCACTATTAGAACAGTTTGGTGTCACTGCCTTCATTTTGCTGCAATGCCAACTCTTTACCCATCATTGCCTTTGGACCATTGGTGCAAATGTCAACACAATGTCAAAGGTAAATAATATGTTAGTATTTTAATGAAAATTGTCTTTGGCCTTGCACATTTTCTGAAAGGGTTTCAGGTACCCTTAGTGGTTTTTTTCTTTTTTTTTTTTTGGTATCTCTGTTTTATTTTCTGTGGTAACAAACATTTAAGAATCAGATAAAACAAGGGGCCCCTGAGCACCCAAGGGCCAGTACAGGCTGCCCATGAGGCCCTCACAGGAAAGCAACTGTGTCAGTTTTCCTGGTTTTGATATTGTCCTACAGTTATGTGATATGTAACCATTGGGGAAACTGAATGAAGGTTACAAAGCACCAGTCTACTATTTTTGCAACTTCCTGTGAATCTATAATTACTTCAAAATAAAAAGTTAAAAAAATTACTGTGTGGAAATGGATTATTGGGCACAAGAAGGGAAGCAGACTAGTCACGAGATTGTGAGAGATGATGATTGCTTGGATGTGGGTAGTAATAGTAGAAATGGAGAGAAGTGAATGGATTTGAGGTGTTTTAGAGATAGTGCTTGTATTATGTTGCAGTGTGGAAAAGGGAGTCTAGATATTTATGTTGAGCAACTGAATTCATGTGAATTTGAGAAGGTTAGGATTGGAGGAGGAGTAGGTTGAGAGGAGGAACAGAAGTTTTACACTGGGCTCGTTAGGTTAGTGAAGCTATCAGAGGTTGAGGCTGCTGTTGAACGCAGGAGCCAAGCAGCATACAGATAATAATTAGAGCTGTGGGATTAGATGGGATCACTCAAGGCAAAAGTATAGTGAGTAAAGAGAAGTGGCCTGGGACAGAGCTGCTGGGGGAGACGTCAGTGTCTAGAGGTGTGTCAGAGGGGATCTCAAAGAAGGGGCAAGAGGAGGAAAATCAGGCGAGTATAGAGTCATTGAATCCCAAAGAAGAAAGTGTGTTAAGAAAAGAGGAGATAACTGGGTTGTGTGGTGCAGAGATGTGAATATGTTGGGATTAGAAGTGACCACAGGAGGCTTTTTGGAGATTTCAAGAGTTCAGAAGGCAACCTGGTGGTTTGAAAAGTGAACAATATGTGGGGAAACGGAGAGAGCAGTACATACTTCTCTTTGGAGGTATATCAGAGAAACCGCTGGTAGGAGCTCCTAGATCATACTTGTGTACCTACAAATCTGATTAATTGAAGGGGAAAGATAGATGAGGGATCAGAGAAAGTATAATTGAAAGACAAAGCAAGTACTTTGAGAATGAAAGGGACTGGGAGCAAGTGTATGAGTGGATTGTTCTTTGAATCTCAATGTACCAGCCAAATAGAGCCCGTTAAAAGTAAGAACATGTAACTCTTCTGCTCAGAAATTTCCCATCTCACTCATTCATTGTACAAGCCAAAGCCCTTAAAATGGCCTACAAGCCTCTAAGCAATCTGCTATTTTTCTCTGTTCTCTCCCTGCCTACCCCCAGCTCTGACCTTGTTCCTCACTGTCTCCTCCAGCCACACTGGCCACCTCATTGTTCATAGAACTTAGCAGGTTTGCTCCTGCCTGGGGATCCTGGAGCTTGCACCTCCGTTTTTCTGGACAGCTCCTTTTGCCGGTATCTGCATGGCTTACTCACTTACTTCTTTCAGGCCTTTTCTTAAATGGTGCTTTTTCAGTGGTCTTCTCTGACCATGCTGTCGAAAACTGTCTCTCTCTCCCTGCACTTTTTATTCCCCCAACGTGCTTTTTCTCCATAGTACTTCCCATCACCTGACATATAAAATGTACATATTTACTTATTTGACTTGTTTCTCACCATAAGAATGTACACTCTATGCGGGGTAGGAATTTTTGCTTGTTTTGTTTACACTATATTGACAATACCAAGATCAGTACCATATGTACAGTTGTTTTTTTTTTTTTTTTGCTCTGTCATCCAGGCTGGAGTGCAATGGCACAATCTCAGCTCACTGCAACCTCCGCCTCTTGGATTCAAGCAATTCTCCAGTCTCAGCCTCGCAAGTAACTGGGATGACAGGCATGTGCCACACGCCTGGCTAATTTTTTTGTATTTTTAGTAGAGATGGGGTTTCACCATGTTGGCCAGGCTGATCTCGAACTGACCTCAAGTGATCCACCCGTCTCGGCCTCCCAAAGTGCTGGGATTACAGGTGTGAGCCACAGCACCCGGCCTATGTACAAATATTTGTATGATAAATAGAAACAGGGAAGAAAGAACATAGGTGGAGGATAGGTAGGCCTAAGGATTTGGTGACAGGAAAGTGAGTGTATTCTTGCTAGATTTATACCAGTTATGAAGCAGGGCACTAATTGAGAATGGAGTGGGATGGGAAGGATTATCAGAGTTTTGAGGAGAGCAGAGTAAGTGTAAAAAGTCTTTGAGAGTGGAAAGGTGAACTTTCCAGGTGTGATGTAAGGTTACTGAACAGGGTTGAAGGGATATTTGTGATTTGTGATTTTCTGAAATAGAATGTGTTTCTCACTTAAGTCAGTAGAATTTTAACAATATTAAACTATAGAACAGAGTAAGGAAGTGCAATGTGTAAATGCTTACTGTTTTTAAAAGAATAGAATTATTTTTTAAACAGTGATCATTATAGTATTGAATTTACACCATCGATTTAGAATGTGCCCTAACTAACCCTATATTCTTTTTAGCCTTACCAATAATTCTAGGATCGTGGGACTCCTGGCTCAGCTGGAGAAGATCAATGCTGAACCTTCAGAATCAGACACTGCCCGATATGTTACATCAAAAATTCTTCATCTGGCTCAGAGTCAAGGTAAACATTGATCTCTTTGTTTTTGAAACGAATTCTTTAAAAGTGGATGCTAAAAATGTTCAAACTTCTAATGAATGGTTGATTTTCCACAAAAATTGAACTTTCAGGCCAGACCCGGTGGCTCACACCTGTAATCCCAGCACTTTGGGAGGCCGAGGTGGGCAGATCACGAAGTCAGTAGTTCGAGACCAACCTGGCCAATGTGGTGAAACCCCATCTGTACTGCAAAATACAAAAAGTAGCTGGGTGTGGTGGCATGCGCTTACAGTCCCAGATACTCGGGAGACTGAGGCAGAAGAAACGCTGGAACCTGGGAGGCGGAGGTCTCAGCAGTAAACTGAGACCAGCCTGGGTGACAGAGCGAGACTCCGTCTCAAAAAAAAAAAAAAAAAGAATCAAACTTTCTCAAATTGACTCAAGAATAGAAAACTGAGTAACTCTGGAGGAAATTGATCTTCAAAGCATTGTTTCTAATAATGATTACAATTTTACTTATGTATGATTGCCACCCTCCAATTTACAGACAGTACCGAATTCCAGTGCTACTTGATATAGATTTTTGGCAAACAGATATCAAGTAGCATAGAATATTGGTTATTTTGTGGTCCTCACTTTGAGATTCAAGCTCTACCATTTAGTGGTTGGGTACCTTAGGGAAGTTATTGAATTTCTAGGATGTATAGTAGCTATACCATCTCTGAAGTAGAGGTCACAAATATCATGGGATTGTCATGAGATTTACATGAGAAGCATATAAAAAGAATGTTTAAAATGTTCTATAAATGTCCTCTGTAATTAGACATTATTTTTATATTTTATGATGGTAATAGTACTAAATGGATTTCAATACCCTGACGGAGTACACAAATAGTATTGACTTTGTACTTAGGAACATAATGTGAAAAGGCTCAAATAAAACATTAGGGAATTAAGTCTATACATGGAAATATGAATATCATTGTTAAAGAACACATTTCACTGGGCGTGGTGGCTCAAGCCTGTAATCTCAGCACTTTGGGGGGCCGAGGTGGGTGGATCAGGAGGTCAGGAGATTGAGACCATCCTGACTAACACTGTGAAACCCCATCTCTACTAAAAAATAGAAAAAATTAGCCAGGCGTGGTGACGGGCGCCTGTAGTCCCAGCTACTTGGGAGGCTGAGGCAGGAGAATGGTGTGAACCCGGAAGGCGGAGCTTGCAGTGAGCCAAGATCGCCCCACTGCACTCCAGCCTGGGCGACAGAGCAAGACTCCATCTAAAATAAAAAATAAAAAATAAAAAGAACACATTTCAGTAATGCAAGATGGTTTAGTATCAGGAAATGTGTCAGTATAACATTATCTGAACAGGTCAAATAAAATCCATGTAATTATCTTAATAGATAGTAAAAAGGACTTTGGTAAGACTAAAAACTGTGCATGATTTAAATAAGAGAAAACCAGCAGCTACTTTAATATTTAACAGTGCACATAAAAGGTATTTCTGTTAGAATTAAGGTTCAATAATTATAATCTTTATTTAATTTTTAAAAACTTCATTATTCTGGAGGCTTAGGTCATTCACATAAGATGTTTGGCAGGCATTTACTGTTTCGAGAGCTCGGTATCTGTTAACCCTTCTTCTTGTTCATAGACACTTATATTTATTTTGATCACTTCCTCCCATGTAGCCCATGCATTTGGGGGATAGTTGATACCACTCCATTGTTTCTCACGTAATTTAAAATACTTGTACCTTTGAATTAAGAAAGCCACTGTATTGGATTCCAGGCTCTGGAAATATTGTACTTATTAACTAAGGCAACTAATGAACAAGGATGTTCATTGTATCAGTGCAAAATTAAATGTGCCAGGTATATTCACTGCATTGTCATGTGAAATACCTCCTTCTCAAAAAAACCAAAAAAAAAACCCAACAAAAACAAAAGAAAATGAATCCTTCAGACCTATAGATAAACACTTTTGTCCATTGCCCCTACCACTGTAGACTCTTCTTTGTGTCACAACCTAGAAACCCCTACTCCAGCATTACCACTGAAAATACTCCTAACCATACCTCTGTCAGAGAATGACCCTCTTCCCACCTTTTCAGCCACCACTGGAGTCTAACTCCTGAATACTGTCCCTTGGGGTGTGTAAACCAACACAGTATAAGTTGGTAGTGAAAGATTGTCCCAACCTTTATAGGATAATCCAGTTAGCTACCCATTTGGGAGAAAAAGTTTGGAATTTATAGTTGAAAAAAGAAATGCAAACAACCAAGAAATGTACAGAAATTTTCTTTACTCCCTTACAGTTCAGGAGAACTGCTAATGAAAACAACCAAGATATCTTTCACTAGTCAGATTGACAGAAATTAGAATGACAATGTCTGGTGCTGTTGAAGGCACGGGGAAAGGGTACTTTCATATACTGTTGGAGGTGTAGTAATTATTACAAACTTGGAGAAAATAATCTGGCAATGTGTACTAAAACAAATTGCACCTGGTATTTGACCCAGCACCTGGTATTTGATTTTTACTTTAAGAAATATATATATATATAAAATTTTTATTTTTATTTATTTTATTTATTTTTGAGACAGTCCCTCTCACTCTGTTGCCCGGGCTGGATTGCAGTGGCGCAGTCTCGACTCACTGCAACCTCCACCTACCTCCCTGGTTCAAGCCATTCTTCTGTCTCAGTCCCCTGAGTAGGTGGGATTACGCCAGCTAGGCGTATGCCACAACACCCGGCTAATTTTTTATATTTTTGGTAGAGATGGAATTTCACCGTGTTGGCAAGGCTGGTCTCCAACTCTTGACCTCAGGTGATCTGCCCACCTCGGCCTCCCAAAGTGCTGGGATTACAGGTGTGAGCCACCGTGCCCAGCCAAGAAATATATTTTAACTGAAATAAAAGTGCTAGTTAGAGAGAGTATAGAGATATTCATTGTGGCATTATTTGTAATGTCAAAGGTCAAGAAACAACTTAAATGTTTATCATTTAGAGAATGTGTGAATAATTTTTGATATAGCCAAACTGGAAATTTATAGTCATATTATGCAGCTATTACGAATAATACATTATTTATGATGGGGACTCTTGTAACCCCCACACCCAGACTTACCCCAAACTAATTAAATCTTATTGTTAAAGCTTTTCAGATGATTCTAAAATTGAGAGCTACTGCTGTAGACAGGGAATGACTAGTGTTTTCTGGGACGGGCCAGATAGACATATTTTAGGCTTTGTGGGCCATACAGTCTCTGCCCTGTAGCATAAAAACAGCCACAGATGATATATAAAGAAACAGGCATGGCTGAGTTCCTATAAACTTTATTGTAGACACTGAAAAAAAAATTATAATTGAAACACAGTTCAAATGTGTAACTATATGCACTCTCTTGGAGGCTTAAATTTAGTATATTACGTACAGCAAGATTCTTTAGTTCATATGACTGTAAATGTATATAGTCTCATTTTTGTATAAAATATGTGTAGTCTCATTTTTTGTATAAAATAAACCATTATATTTGTATATAATATTTATATGAGCCAGGCCAAAAGATAAAAGGAAGGATGCATATCAAATTGTTAGCAGTAGCTATATTGATGAGATAGGAATGGAGGAGAGTAAGGTAAGCTAATTTTGTTTCAGACACTTTTAAATTGTTGCAACAAGCATATACTACTTATGTATTTAAATGATATAAAAAACCAACCCCTACAACACATTTTATTCACACTATGAACTTATACATTTCCATAATTTGCCTCTCGTTAACTACTTATGTACAGTGAACATGGTTATCTCTTGCAATTTCCCTTTAGCTTTTTTCCTAGAAACATTTATATTATCTATTTTCAGGCAAATGGTTAATTTGTTGGCCCATGGTTGTTGCTAATCTTTCCTTATAATCCTTTTAGTTTCTATAGAGTAGGGAATGTCATTCCTGATTTTGATGGTGCCCTCTCTTTTTTCTCGGTCAGCTCATTAGTTCTCAACCAGGAGTGATTGCGTTTGCCCCACTTTTCCCCACAGGGGCATTGGCAATGTTTGGTGACATTTTTAGTTGTAAATTTTTTTTTAGTGGGGCTTACTGGAATCTGTTGGATGGAAGCCAGAGATGTTGCTGAACATTCTGTAATATATAGATCAACCCCCCACAAGAAAGAATTATCTGTCTCAAAATGTCAAGAGTGCTGAGGTTAGGAAACCCTAGGCTAGCTATAAGTTTGTCAATTTTGTTGATATTGTTAAAGAACCAACTTCTGGTTTAATTGATTTTCCCTTTTGTTTCATTGATTTCCTTCTTTTGTTTATTGCTTTCTTCCTTCTACTTGTTTTGAGTTTAATTTGCTCTTTCCTCGCCTTTTTTTTTTTTTAAATTTTGAGACAGTGTTTCATTCTTGTTGCCCAGACTGGAGTGCAATGGTAAGATCTCCGCTCACTGCAACCTCTGTCTCCTGGATTCAAATGATTCTCCTGCCTCAGCAACCCCGAGTAGCTGGGATTACGGGCACCTCTCACCACACCGGGCTAATTTTTTGTATTTTAGTAGAGACGGGGTTTCAACATGTTGGCCAGGCTGATCTTGAACTCCTGACCTCAGGTGATCCACCCGCCTCAGCCTTCCAGAGCGCTGGGATTACAAGGCATGAGCCACCGCGCCTGGACGCCATTTTCTTACAGTGGATGTCTAGATTATTTATTTTGAGACCTTTTTTTCTACTGGAGGCATTCAAAGCCATAGATTTTCCTGTAAACACTGCCTTAGCTACATTCTACAAATTTTGATATATTGTATTTTTGTTTTCATTCAGTTGACAATACCTTCTGATTTTCTTTGTGATTTTTTTTTGACCCATAGGTTTTTTTAGAAGTGTGTTGTTTAATTTCCCAATATTTCAGGAATTCTTAAATTTCCTTCTGTTGATTTCTAATTTAATTCTGTTGTGGCCAGAGAATATACTTTGAATTATTTCAATTCTTGGAATTGCTTGAGACTTGTTTTATGACCTAGTTTATGGTTTCTCCTGAAAAATGTTCCGTGCCTGCTTGAAAAGAATGTATATTCTGCTGTTGTTGGGCGAAGTGTTCTATACATATCAATTAGGTCAGGTTAGTTGATAGTGTTGTTCAGATCTCTTATACACTGTTGATCTTCTATTCAGGTGCTCTGTTAATTATTAAGAGGTGTTAAAATGTTATTAAATTGTGTATTTATTTTTTAATTTTGGCAGGTTTTGGTTAATGTATTTTGAGGCCCTGTTGTTAGCTGTATATACATTTATAGTTGTTTCATTTTCCTGATAGTTTGCCTCTTCCATCATTGTGAAATATTGCTTGTTGTCTCATAATGGTTCTAGACTTAAAGTTCATTTTGTCTAATGGTAATATCACCACTCCAGCTGCCTAATGATTACTCATTGCGTATCATACCTTTTTTCATTCCTTTTACTTTGAACCTGTTTGTACCTTCAAATCTAAAGTGTGTTTCTTGAAGATAACATATTGTTGGATCTTGCTTCTTAACTAGTCTGAGTGTTTTAGTGCTTCCACTTTAATGCATTTATTAATATTATTGGATTTACATCTGCCATTTTGCTATTTGTTTTGTTTCATTTGTTTTCCATTCTTCTCATTCTTTCACTGCTTTTGTGTTATCTAACTTTAAGACATTGTAGGTCTTTTCTTAGTGGTTCCTGTAAGGATTAAAATGTGCATCTTTTTACAGTGTACTGTGGTGCACTTAATTCCAGTCAGTATCAAAACTCCCCATTATAGCTCCATTTCCTTCTCACTCCTTATGCTGTTATTGATTTACATGTTATGTTTATACATACTAGAATCCCAGCAATACAGTGTTATAATTATTGCTTACACATCTTATGCTTTATAAAGAAGTTCTGAATGAAGAGCGGGATTAAGAGCCAACAGATTGATAGTTAAAGTAACAGGGGTGGAATTAAGTTTCCTTAGAAGGAGATGTAGAGTGAAAAAGCTGAGGCTTGTGTCCTGGGAACTGTGCACATTTAGATAGGGCTCTAAGGGGGTCTTGTGAAGATAATCAAGTGCGTTCACATGATTTTATGTCTTTGATGTTTTACCCCTTTATCATTACGGAAAGTTTCTCTTTATCTCTGGTAGTGTTCTTTGTCTGAAGTTTATTTTGTCTGATATTAGTATAACCCTTCAAGCTTTCCTGCGGTTGTTGTTTTGCATGATACAGTCTTTTCCATTCTTTTACTCCCAACCTTTTTGTGTCATTGAATCCAAAGTATGATTTCTGTAGACAGCATATAGTTGGATCTTTTTTAAAAAAATACTTAACCAGTTTGACAGTCTGAGTGTTTCATTTGAGCATTTGGTCTGTTAACATTGAATGTAGTTGTTGATTGGATTTAGGTCTGCAATTTTATTTTTTCTTTGTCTTTTATGTTTTTTATTCCTTTTCTTCCTGTCCTACCCTATTTTGGATTATTTGTTTTTTTTTTAGAATTTTGTTTTAATTTACCTATTGGCTTTTTAGTTATACCTCTTTTCATTTTTAAGAAGTAATTTCTTTGAAGATTGCAGTAAATGTCATTAACTTTTCACAGTTTGCTTAGAATTATTATTGTTACTTCATGTAAATTTAGAATCTTAAATTTTTTCTGCCGTTCTTCAGCTGTAATTGTCATATATATCTACATCTATATACATTACAATACAATTTTTGCTTTATCCAGTCATGTATGTTTTAAAGACATTAAGAAGAAAAAAGGTAGAATTTACATTTGCAGAGATATTTACCATTTTGAAAGCTCTTTATTATTTTCTAAGATGTGAGTTTGGTCTGGTGCCATTTCTCTTTAGCCTACAGAATTTTGTCATTTCCAGTAGTTCAGATTGGCTGTGGAAGATTTTTTTTTTTTTCTTAATCTGACAGTGAATTTATTTCACCATTTTTGAAGGATATTTTTACTGGATATAGAATTCTGGGTTGGCAGTTTCATCATTGTCATCATCTTTTAGCATTTTAAAGTGTGCTTAAAATTGTGTTTCCACCATTTTATGGCCTCCATAATTTCAAATGAGAACTCTGTTGTCATTTGAATCTTTGTTTTCCTGAATGTTATATGTGATTTTTTTCTAGCTGATTTCAGGATTTTTTTTTTTGGTTTTACTTTTCAAGTTTGACTGGCTGTAGTTTTCTTCATAGTTATCCTGCTTGTAATTCACTGATATTCTTGAATCTGTAAATTTCTATCTTTAGCCAAATTTGGGACATTTTTGGTTGCTCAATTTTTTTCTCCCTTATTTTCTCTATTTGTCTTGTGGAAGTATGATTATACATATGTTAGATTTTTGGTATTTTTTTCAGCTATTGTTGAGGCTTGTATCTTTTAAGTTTAATTCTCTGTTATTTGGGTTGGATAATTTCTGTTGTTCTATTGTCAGTTTCACTGCCTCTTTCCTATGCATTCTTCCAGTTAGCTGTCTGATAATTTATTTCAGGTGTTACTTTCTTTATTCTCAAGGGTGCACTTGGTTCTTTTGCTTTTGTAGTTTCTATTTCTCTGCAGTGTTTTCCCGTCTTTTCATTCATTGTGTACTTCTTTAATGTCATTTATTATAATAGCTGCTTTAAAATTCTTGTCTGTAAATCTAAATCTAACATTCAGATAATTGAAGCTGTTGAAGAAAGAATACAGCATTATAATAACTGGGAAGGATTATATTTAAAGAAACCAAAGGAAGATGCAGTAGTCAACAGTACTAAGTGTTAGGAAGGTTAGTTAAAGTTCTTTTTGGTTGGATTATTAACAAATTATTGATCACAACAAAAGCACTTTTCAAGTGATAGGATTAGATGGAAGATTACAGTATGTTATAATGTGAGTGGCAAATGAAATAATCACAGGGAATATAGAGTACTTGTTTGAGGAGCTTCACTGAGAAAGAAAAGAGGGAAATAGAGGGGGAGGCAGGGTAAAATAAGATTTGGTAAGCATGTGGAATAATAAAAAGTGTATTTATTGGTTGAGGAGGAACAACCGATAGTTGGTAGAGGTTGAAGATAAAGGTTCATAAGAACATAGAAAGGATGGAATTCAGAACATAGATGAAGGGACATTTCTTCCTAACCTCCACTTCCCTGCTCCTCTCTGCCATTTATTGGCAGAAGGAATGCAAGACTGTCAAGGATTTTGGTACAGGAGCATATACAGTTTGGTTGTTATTAGTAAAATGTTTTGTTAACTATTACTTTGCTTCATTTTAATGAGGAAAAATTTAGGTTCTGAGAAGTCCAGAGAATGAGAGGAAAGATTGAGGGCTACTATAAATGTTGGATTAGCTATAGGCTATGGCAGGGCCCATGGTGATGGATGTGAGCTAAGATAAGTGAAAGGAGCAGTTTTGTGTTCCCAAGTGAGGTTGGAATTCATTAATTTTATGGTATTAACAGTCTTAAATTGTGGTGTTATTTTAACTCTGATGTAGGAGTAGGGAACTTAGCTTTTTGGGATTCACTTCTGTATCAGGGTTTGTGGTGGGAAAGTTGGTGGGGGTGGATGTGCTTGGAATCCAAGTTAAGCATGGAGGGGACTGATACTGTGGGAAAACAGTGCTACCTCACACTGAATAAGAAGTTTCAACAAAGATGACAGTGAGGTTTATATAGTCTTTATAAAGGAAAGATGAATAGCAGTGTTAGGAGGTTATGGTCCATAATTAAAAGATTAGAGGTTAAGATATCAGAGGCAGAGCAGTTTGAGGTCCTGAGAATGGCCCTTCAGAATGTTGATGAATTGGAGCACAGAGGGAAGGATTTTGTTATGAGGTCAAGAAACTATGGAACTAGGTATTTGAATGAATTTTCTACATTGGCATTGAAGTCTCCCAAGATCATGGCAGAATTTGGAGTAGAATAGAAAACTGTTAGTCTGAACACCTAATTCTCATTTAGTGTGAGGCGTAAACAAAACAGTGGTGAATGTTAACAAGGGGAGGCTGCATTATACTGTCTTCAAAGGAAGAGAGTTTTTTTACCCTTCATGGAGGTGAAAATGTAATGGCTTGTTAGTGGTGATGTTAATATTGAAAAATAATTTGGCTTTAATATTAAATCGGGGGCCTTTAAAATACTATATCAAGGATACATTAGATATTTGAAACAGTGTTTTATTTTACAACTCAATATTTTTTGGTGGAGGCAGCAGGGCTGCCTTGAACAGTGAGATCACTTGAACACAGGAAGGGGATCATCACACACTGGGTCCTATTGTGGGAAGGCGGGGGGTGAGGGATAGCATTAGGAGATATACCTAATATAAATGACGAGTTAATGGGTGCAGCACACCAACATGGCACATGTATAGATATGTAACAAACCTGCACATTGTGCACATGTACCCTAGAACTTAAAGTATAATTAGAAAAAAATACAAAAGTTAGCCGGACGTGGTGACACACACCTGTAATCCCAGCTGCTCAGGAGGCTGAGGCAGGAGAATTGCTTAAACCCCGGAGGTGGAGGTGGTTGTGAGTGGAGATTGTGCCATTGCACTCCAGCCTGGGTGACAGAGTGAGACTCTATCTCCAAAAAAAAAAAGTATTAATGCGATCAAAACATTGGAAAATGGTAGTAGGTTTTTATTTTCACCCATTTTGATGAACAGTTTTCTAGTTCTACTCATGAAGATGAGGCAAGACCCCTACCTTCCCTAGTTCTGGCACCTGTACTATATTATCGATTTTAAGATTCTAAATGAATGAATAGGGATCACCTAATTCATGACAGGAGCTGTGATGAAATGTGAAGAATGCTATGTTAACTGAAATCTCGAAGTCCACATGCGGTAGAATTAGCAACATCACAGGGAAGAATGTCTGTGAACCAAGTCAGAGTGTTTACTGTACCAGTGGAGGCTTGTTGAATTTTTATTAGCTATATGCAACAAAACTATACATACTGTTAAAAATGTATGTTTGAGAAAAAAATTGTTTGCTACTTTTCAGAAAAAACAAGGAGAGAAATGACAGCCAAAGGTTCTACAGGAATGGAAATTCTGCTGTCAACATTAGAGGTAAATCAGTGACACACTTTAATTATGTAACTACTAATGCCAAGCGATACTGAAGAAGAAAAAGCCTATGTGTGTGTATAAATACACACAGAAACACATACACACGTACATATATACACATACACATACATATACACACGTGTGTGTATATATATATGTGTAACAATTTTTATTTTAGAGGTAAAGCCAGTGAATGAAAGTTTGTTTTAGGTTTTTAAAATACTATTTGGAATGGTGGTATAAATATTCTAATATGTGTTAGGTGACTGTTGAAGTATATTTCCCTTATACAATTATAATGATAACTAAATTGTAATCCTAACATGCCATTCTAGTTGGTAATAGAAAATAAAGCATTAGCTGGAAATAAATCTTTAGCTTAAAACAAATGGTTGACATTGAAAATTATTGTTTATTGTTTTAGCTGATATACATTTGTGATTTTACTACACATGTTGGTTAACTATATTATATTGATGATAATTGAATTTCTATGGCAGTGTAAAGTTTTGGGTGAACCAACAGGATGTATTCAGAATCAGGATTCTGTATTTTGTTCAGTTGCAATGTTAAGAACAAGAAATGAATTCATGTTCTTCAATAGGAGGTCTTAGCATCATGAAGATGTCATTTCTCCCTAGACTGATCTGTTACTTCAGAGCAATCTCAATAAAAGTTACCAACATGTTTTTTCTTTCTTTTACCAAATTTTTTAACCAAAATTTTACCAAATTTTTTTTCTTTTCTTTTTTTTTGAGATGGAGTCTCACTCTGTCGCCCAAGCTGGAGTGCAGTGGCGTGATCTCGGCTCAATGCAACCTCCGCCTCCCAGGTTCGAGTGATTCTCCTGCCTCAGCATCCCAAGTAGCTGGGATTATAGGTGCACACCACCATGCCTGGCTGATTTTTGTAGTTTTAGGAGAGATGGGGTTTCACCATGTTGACCAGGCTGGTCTTGAACTCCTGACCTCAGGTGATGATCCGCCTGCCTTGGCCTCCCAAAGTGCTGGGATTACAGGTGTGAGCCACTGTGCCCGGCCTAACCGTTTTGTTTTTAAAGTCCAAATGGGGAGACATAGTCAGCAAAATACAAAGCACATTTCTGAGAATGAAGATAAATGAGAAAGGACTATTAAATATCAAAGAACATTAGAAGTCTTCAGTAATTAAAATAGTTTGGAAATTATGCATGAGTAATAGATAGACTACTACTATAATGTAACAGAATAGAAAATCCAAAAACAAAATGCATATGGGAATTTAGTATTATTTATTAAAGGTAGCATTTCAGATCAGTGAGGAATAGAGTGGTAACTATCTGGAACAATGTAACATTGAATCCTGAGTTCCTGCATTCCACACCCAAATAAATTCCATATGAAGCAAATATTTAAGCATGGAAAATGGAATAATAATACTAGAGAAAGAGAGAGGAATTTTAAAATAATCTTACAACAAAGAAGGCTTTTTTAAGTATGAAAAATAGAAACTATAAAAGATTGATAGATTCAACTATATTAACAAAAGGATGTAGAAAAAAACACCATGGATACTTGGAAAACTGAGGAAAAGTATTTTGGCTTATATAATTTCTTTGACATGTAAAGAACTTCTTCAGTTAAAGGCCGGGTGTGGTGGCTCACGCCTGTAATGCCAGCACTTTGGGAGGCTGAGACAGGTGGATCACAAGGTCAGGAGATTGAGACCATCCTGACCGGTAAAACCCGCTCTACTAAAACCCGTCTCTACCAAAAAAAAAAAAAAAAAATTAGCCGGTTGTGGTGGCGGGCGCCTGTAGTCCCAGTTACTCAGAAGGCCAAGGCAGGAGAATGGCCTGAACTCGGGAGGCGTAGCTTGCAGTGAGCCGAGATCGGGTCACTGCGCTCCAGCCTGGGCGACAGAGTGAGACTCCGTCTAAAAAAAAAAAAAAAAAAAAAAAAAAAAACTTCTTCATTTAGGAAGGAAAAAAAAACAAAACCAAACCCTCAAAAACCATGTAAAGGCTATGCACAGTTCTCAGAAAAAGAAACACAGATGTCACTTGAGATTGAGCATTACTTTTAATAAGATAAATAAAACCGAAGTACAATGTGTAAACATTTTCACTTATGAGATCGGTTGTCCAAACTTGGAGAAATAGCCCCTCCTCTGCATTGCTGATGGTAGTATAAATTATTTCCTAGAGAGCAGCTTGGTAATATCTATTAAAATAAAGGCCCATATTCTTTGAACTTGAAATTGTAGGCATTTACCTTACTATACAGATGTACTTTACCACGTGTAAATATATATCCTTAGTTAAATTTGAAACTTTTAATAGCAAAATATTAAAAGCAACCTAAATATTTCATGGGTAGATGACTGGTTAGATAAACAATGGTGATATAGACATATAATGGAATACATCCTGTAGCCCTCAAAAAGAAGAAGCTCTTTATCTATTGATATGTAAAATATCAAGGTGCAAAATAGTACCTATAGAGCAATACCATTTGGAGAAATAAACCTGTATGCACATGTATATTTACATGGATTTCTCTTATATGTGCATATTATCTTTGGCAGAATGCAAAAGAAATTAATAACATGATCGTCTTCTGAGAGGGCAGCTAGGTGATTGAGTAGTCACCAGACATACATTGTAGTGCCATTTAAATTTTGATTCATTTACTTTTTATTATCTGTTTGGTAGAAAGATGAGGAATTCAAATGACAGAGTGATTCGTCTTGGAGTAATGTCGATATTAAGCAAGTAATATAATAACTAAAAATGATTTGTAAAAATTCTTAAAGGCAGAAGGAAACAGACTGAAATGATGAAAGAATAGTGAAAACCTGAATACATTTGTTCCTAGAGAAATTGGAAAGGTTATTTGTAAAATATGGGTAGTTCCCAGTGGATTCAAAGGTTGGGAATCAAAAGTTTACAATGTTTTAATAAAACAAACTATTTATTTCAGAACACAAAAGATCTTCAAACTACACTTAATATCTTAAGCATTCTTGTTGAGCTGGTGTCAGCTGGTAAGTTTTTGTTTCTTTGGTCTAATTTCTGTTTCTAAACAGTGATCAACAATGTATCATATTCACTTTATTTGGAATTTTCTGATACTCTTATAGAGGCTATTCTGAATATTGGAATTTAGAAACTGAAATATCATACTTTGTTGTCGTTGCTTTGTTTTTGGTATCTTTTCAAGTATCCCTCAGACTACCCCATAGCCATGTATTTCACAGCCTTGAACCTAGAATTTCAGCATGATTTGTGTTTACCCTTTGTGTTCTATTTTCTAAATAAATGAGATTAAACAAAATATGTTGACGGTATTTGTTTGATTTTATTGATTGATTGCTTGAGATGGAGTTTTGCTTTTGTCGCCCAGGCTTGACTGCAGTGGTGCGATCTCTGCCCACTGCCACCTCTGCCTCCTGGGTTCAAGAGATTCTCCTGCTTCAAACTCCCAAGTAGCTGGGATTATAGGTGTGCACCACGATGCCTGGCTAATTTTTGTATTTTTAGCTGAGATGGGGTTTCACCATGTTGGCTAGGCTGGTCTTGAACTCCTGACCTCAGGTGAATCCGCCTGCCTCGGCCTCCCTAAGTGCTGTGATTACAGGAGTGAGCTACTGCGCCCGGCCGTATTTGTTTTATTTTAGAAGTCATCAGTTTTAACCATTTCTTGAATGCTAACAAGTTATGATACCTAATATGGGAGGATTTGTTGTTTCAATTTTTTTTTTTATTGTTAGGTGGAGGTAGAAGAGTGAGTTTCTTAGTCACCAAAGGTGGTTCTCAAATACTGTTGCAGTTACTTATGAATGCCAGCAAAGAATCTCCCCCACATGAGGACTTAATGGTACAGATTCATTCTATTCTTGCAAAGATTGGACCAAAAGGTAAGGGATTTCATTTGTATGATTGTTGAATCTAGAACTATTTTTGTAACATGATTCTCTCACCCTGTAACTACTCAGTTTTTTAAAATGTTATTTTAAATTTCTATGGATACATAGTAATTGTACATGTTTATGGGGGTACATGTGATATTTTGATACAAATGTATCTGTAATGATCAAATCTGGGTACATGGGGTATCCATCACCTCAAACATTCATTCTTTCTTTGTGTTGGGATCATTCCAAATCTTCTTTTATAGCTATTTTGAAATATATAGTAAATTATTATTAGCTATAGTTGCCCTACTATGTTACCACTGGATGTTATTCCTTCTATTGAAATGTATTTTTGTATCCATTAACAAACTTGCCTTTATCTCCCGCTCCCCATTACCCTTGGCAGCCTCTGATAACCACTATTCACTCCTTTTATGAGATCAATTTTTTTAGCTTGCACGTATGAAAGAGAATATTGATATTTATCTTTCTGTGCCTGTCTTGTTTCACTTGCATAATGTCCTCCAGTTCCATTCATGTTGCCGCAAATGACAGGATTTCATTCTTTTTTATGGTTGAATAATATTCCATTGTGTAAATAAACCACATTTTCTTTATATATTCATTCATTGATGGACGCGTAGGTTGATTCGATACCTTGACTTTCGTGAATAGTGCAGCAGTAAACATGGGAATGCAGATAGCCTTCAGTATACTTATTTCCTTCCATTTGGATATATACCCAACAGTAGGATTGCTAGATCATCTGGTAAATCTATTTTCAGTTTTTTGGGGAACCCCCATACTGTTTTCCATAGTGGCTTACTAACGTAGATTCTTGCAAACAGTGTATGAGTGTTCCCCTTGCCCCTTATCCTCACCAGCATTTATTATTTTCTGTCTTCTTGGTAACAGCTGTTTTAAGTGGGATAAGATGATCTCTCATTATGGTTTTGATTTGCATTTCCCTAATGATTAGTAATGTTGAGCATTTTTATCTATACCCATTGCCCATTTATATGTTTTCTTTTGAGAATATTTATTCAGATCTTTTGCCCGTTTAAAAAATCCTTTCTCTTTTTTTTCTTTTTTGCTGTTATTTGAGCTCCTTATATATTCTGGTTATTAATCTAGTGTCAGATGAGTAGTCTGTATTTCCTCCCATTCTGTAAGTTATCTCTTCACTTTGTTGATTGTTTCCTTTGCTGTTCAGAAGCTTTTTAGCTTGATGTAATCTCATTTGTCAATTTTCGCTTTGGTTACCTATGCTTTCCAGGTCTTACTAAATAAATTTTTACCCAGACTAATGTCCAGAAGCATTCTCCAATGTTTTCTTATGGAGAGTACTTAATTTTTAAAATCTAAAATGCTACAGCTTTTTCTTAGATTTAGTAATGAAATGCTTTTTTTTTTT